AGGTGTTTGGTAGAGAAGAAGAAAGCAGCCTGGCCAGCTCTGAGCTCAGTTATATCGGGAGCTCATTTCTTACCAGACATCAAAAATCAATATGGGATTTCAATAAGCTTTGCTCCAGATTTGAGCTTAACGCAGCCACCACCTCAGGCAGCCACAGGATACAAATCACAGGCAAGCTGTAAGTGCATTTTAAAGCATAAAGTTTGTAATTTTATAAATGTATATATTTGAGGCTTACGTTACATGTAATCTAAAGCACCAGCATCAGCTGCACCTCCCTGCAGCCCTCACACAGCTGTGAAGCTCCCAAGGAGCTGCCAAGCACTGCATGTGCACAAGCACTCCCAGGGCCCTGCTGTCCTTCCGTGGCTGCACCCAGGGCTCACAAAGCTCAGCTGCAGGGCTGGCAGCTCCCAGAGGTGTCCGGATGTTGGCCATGGCAATCTCAGCTCAGATATGAGTGAGTACCATCAGCAGCATGGCTTCAGCTGGGCCATGCAGATGTGCTGCTATGTGCATAGGTGAGGAGACCACACAGGAGCAGCTCCTGCAGGTCATGGAGTCACAGAATGAGCTCTGGACTGGAAGTGACTCCAACCCCCAGTCACATCCATCCACCTCTGTGCAGCAGACGTGCAGGCTGGCACCAACAGGCTGGCTTTGCCTGCAGCCTCGTGTTCACCTTTCTTCTGCCCCAAGCTTTCAAAACAAGACCTAATTCAAACTCCTACAGAAAGCTTGAATTCCATTCAAACTCCTCTGGCACTTCTTTACATTGCCCTCTGTGACATGAACTCAAAATGCAGCAGCCCTGCACCCACAGGGAAGGATGTGTTTTAGTGAGCAGTGAGGAATCTTTGATACTTTGAGATCTTCATGCAGTTTCTGAGCCAAGATATTCCATGCTGCTTACAGCTACCTGATGGCTGTACAACACCGTAGTGACCAGTGCTAACAGCAACCTGCACCACCACAGCCATGCCCTCAATTGGTCCCTTTTCCTAAGGGCTATAAATCCAATGCTCTTTGTGCTGAAGATCTGCACCATTACTGTTATTTTTCTTTACAAAGTAGCTCCATTGCATGTCCTGGATAAATATAGATGTAATTCTGATACATATTTTGCAGCGTATTTCTTGCAAATCACCCTCTCTATTTAGCTATCCTAAATATGGCAGCGTGGAACACTATAGTACTGAAGAGCTACAGAATTACTTGCACAGAGATTCTTGCGATGTTTCTAACCCCAAAATTGCCACTAAAGCAAAATCACAATTAGACCGAGCCCATAGAGAGCAGAGCACACATCCGCACCGTGGGGCAATGAGAGTTCCAAAGGAACCAAAAGGGTTTATTTTAGGGAAAGACATGTGGCTACGTATTTTAAACGGCTTTGATAACTCAACCACGTTTCAGCAAAGCAGATGTCCAGGCACCCAGCCGGAGGCGTGCGAGCAGCACTTAATACATAGGCAAAGTGCACTACGATGCTGGAGGTGGCTTCTATCCAATGCACAAACACTCCCAGCTCGCCACCCAATGAGGAGGGGACGGGCCGGCCGCAGGCGCGAACCTGTGGAGTCGGTGCCGGGGTTCAGCCATGAGCGGGTACGATGGGTCACTGGGAAGCGGAGCCAAAGGCCACGCAACACGAGGTCTGCTGCTGGGATGCCAGGGGCAGCCGGCACCGCGATGCCCAGCCCTCGCCCATGGGGACAGCAGAGCTCGCCCCACAGCCACGGCCGCCCGCTTGCCCCACACAGTCCCCTCACCTCCATCCGCATATGTCTCGGTGCCGTAACCATCCTGCAGGCCGTTGTTCCAGGTACCCTCATACTTGGCTCCGCTGTTCATGCTTTGCCGCGCGCCGTACCGGCCCTTAAAGCCGTGGGTCCACTCGCCCCTGTACACCCACCGTCCTTTGGTCTCGATCCCCAGGCCGTGCCTCTTGCCCTGGGACCAGTAGCCCTCGTAGGTGTTGCCGCTGGGCCACGTGTAGATGCCCACCACCTCGAAGCCGTAGTTCCAGGAGCCCGAGTACTCGCCCTGCCCCTTGGGGCCGGTGCAGATGCCGTGCCCGTGGGCTTTGCCCCCTTCCCATCCACCGCAGTAGGCACCTCCATCATCGAAATCGAACCTGCCCCCGCTCATGGTCCCCCCGCTCCCGGGCTGCTCCCTTCAGCCGGGCAGCAGCAGCAGGTGGGGGCACGGCTGCCCCATGGCAGAAGGCTCTGGGTGCTCCTCACCCGCACGAGGGGACTGCGATGGGAGGAAGGAGAAACTGGAAGGAGGGGAGAGAAGAAGGGAGGGCAGGGGGTGGTGGAGGGCCCCGGGGAGCCGAGCGTGGCCAGAGGAAGGGGAGGGATGGGACGGGACGGGGGGGGTCCCGAGGCAGCCCCCGCCCTGCTGCTCTCCTCCCCGCCCGCAGAGAGGTCAGCGCTGCCCTAACAAGGCCATCGGATCCCAGGAGCTGCTCCCAAAAATAACCCCGTGGCCCGGCCCCCGCTTCGGGGCCCTTTTATGAAGGAGGAGGGAGATTCAGCCCCCCCCCGCTCCGGCCTCCCCACCTCCGGGCAGGCGGCCAGCAGAGGCTGGGAAAGTAAATGCCTGCCGAAAATAGCGGCTGGGAAGGGGCGCCTGGCTCCTCACGTCATCCCATGGAGATGGCAGAGGGAGGACAAGGAATGAAAGCCCAGGGCACCGGGCTCATCCAAGCCCTCTCCCAGTCACACCTGTCCTACCTGGGAGACAGGCAAGACCACGAGCAGATGGCATTCCCCTTATGGCCCACAAAGCCCCAGGCAGCTGCAGGAGCACAGGATGGCAATGTGCTGCCACAGGTTCTGCTCACCTCTTTGGGTGTGCTCCCAGGCACTGTGTCTGCCTCTGGGCAAAGCTGTCCCAGCCCTCAGCTGGGACATACAGGCTGCATACTCACATCGTACAGCTCCACACTTTGGACAACCTCCCAAACTGTGCTTCTCAGAAGATGCATTAAAAAACAAACAAACATATGGCTTTTCTTGCACTTATATGTGTAAAAACAGCATGTAAGCTGCAAAATATCTGTCCATGTTTTTGCTTTGTGGCTCCTGGGTAGACCAAAACAACTCGTAGTAACAGCACTTGAAGTGTTAAGGCAGCAGTAGCAGCTGCCCATGGCCTTCTATTTTGTAGCGTTCTGGGATTTGCCAGCCCAACTATGTTGTAACTGCCCTAAGAAGATGCCAAGTTCAGGAGCACGTAATTATTTACTTAGCAACTCTTCCTAATTGCATGGCACACTTGTGAACCGATAGACCACTGTGTAAATAACTTACGCACACGTTGGCATTTAGAGCCTACACTGAGCGCTAAATTAGCCATACAATCCAACTTCAGACAACGCTCAAATCTTGTGTGTGATCAGGCACCACCCAGATCTTGCCTGACTTCCTCATCTTGGCAGAAAAATCAGCGTTTTCCTGTAAAGGCTGGTGAGGATTCAGCTGCACCCAGCCCGGAGGAACGGGGGACCTCTAGTGGCACAGCTGCGCTCGCTTCCTGCCCCAGTCAGCACCGGCTCAAGTCTTCATTCCCTACAGCTCCTCCTGGGTTTCAATCCACTTTCTACAAAGTGATACTGAGCACCTGATATTGTAATCCTAAACCCTGCAAGCGCAAGTCTGCAGTGATTGTCTAAGAAATTGGAAAAAGCAATACCGGATTGGAAATAGCTATCAATCCTTTGCCTTGAATTCAAACTCACAGCTGCAGAAATACAGCTACTTGAGCAAGGGGAATTGAAGAGAAATGCAAACAGTATGCAAGGGATAGATGCCAGCACTTCTGATGACAACAAACAACCCAAAAGTACACCCAAGAAATGCTTGTCTGTTTCCTCTCCAGATCTTGCAGGCAGGAAAAGTTCGGGTACAGCAAAGAAAGACAAACTTAATGCAGCTCATCTCTCCTTCACCAAATAGGTATCTAATAGGACACTCCTCTGCCATACACACACTGACGTATCAGAGACTGTACTGACTCATGAAGTATAGCAAGCTGGTTTTTTTTTGAAGTACATTTCAGGAAGAACACAAGGCTCCACCAGTACTGTGGACTTGGACAGGGCATCTGAAGTGACAGTGGTTTAGTAAAGGTTGGAGGAGAACAGTGCTCAAGTCTTCCCCAACTGTGCAGCTGACAACCATTTGCTCCAGGGTCTTTATGGCTGTGTAGTTACATCTGGTGTTGTACAGCAGGTTGTACAAAGCTGAAAAAACACTGTGTAAGTTAGGACCACTGAAGTCAACAAGCACTGTTTTGGCATTCCTGAAAACACACTGACCAGAGTCCTCCAGTTTAACAGGGTAACAATAAAGTGAAGCAAAACCCCTGAAGAAAGCAGGTACTTCTGCTGCTGCAGATAAACCTCCAAGGTCTGCAGGACATTCAATGAAGAGCTACACTTGCTTTACATTTTCCACTAAAATACGCTCCACAGATCAGGACAAACTCTTGAAACAGTCTTCCCTTATTAACCTAGGGACTAACTCAATATCAGACAGGTGAAGGAGAATGCGTGTTTAGGTGTCAGAAGTAAAGCCTCTCTTCAGGCACAAAGAAATAAGAATGCCTTCTCCCATGAAAAGTTGATTCTGCCTCTTGGATTTGCCATGCATACAAACTGTATCAAGAAGACAGGAGATGGTCATGATCCTTTATGAAATAAAATCAGGGGCAGAAATGTCCAGAAATAGAAACCTAGAAATTACAGTCTGGGGTCAAAGCAATTTCAAAGAAGCTGAATTACACCAAGCTCTCCAACAGCTCTAACCACTAAGGCACCTAGACACTTCCCTTCCAACAAACAGAAGGATTTTGAAAACTAAGTAGAATTTCCCATGTTAGGTCTCAAGCACAGACAGATAGATACTCTCTAAACACATTGTCTATATTTACTTCACTATCTATTCCAAGTTTAAGCTAGCATTTGTCCAGCTGAAATAACGAACATCAGCTAAGATGCGAAGAAAGGATTTTATTGCAAGCACAGTGAGCAACGATCAGGTTCCATCTCACATGACTGTGACTAAGGACATGTACAAACCACCCACCCTTCTGTTTTTAGCAGTCCTTGTTTTCAGGTGTACATCATTTCTGCCATGTGAGACATTTTCTTTGGAATATATAAGTAATATTCCATGTATCCTGAAAGGTCTTCGATAGTCACATCATCCACAAAGGCTCTGGCTTGCTCAGAGCAAGAGCGTGGGGAACTCGATGGAGTTCTCGATGGCAAAGACTGGGAGTGATCCTCAGCAACTGTTCTTCTATCAGATGCCAACGTGAAAGTGTTCTGCAAGCCAGAGAATTTGTACACCTCCATTTCTTGCCATCGTTTACACTGACAGGCTTTATCTACACAGGCACATGGCTTATTCTTGTTCAGCTTGGACACAGATCGGAAGTCAGAGAGCTCTGCAGTCTTTAGGCTTGCTTCAGATACTAAAGAAATGGCAGTGGGAGAATTTTCTTGCGTGTTCACTGATGTGGACTCTGCAACAGAGGCTCCAGAACAACCAACGCCATCTCTTTTCTGGCCAATGTCTGAGGCAATACTGCATTGTTCGTGTGCACAAGCTTCCTTTGGGACTAATATTCCAAATGCACTGCCATCAGCTGGGGAATCAATCTGGCCTTTGTGCACCAGTTGGTTGCACGTGGATTGTGATTTTGTGCTGCAATGAATAAATTTTGGAGGATGAAGAATTGGGGACTTGGAACGCCTGCGACGCTGAGTTCTCACAGCTCCTCTTGAAGGTTTCTTCACAGATCTAACAGAGAAAGGTACAAAAAGTGAGTGAAGTTTCACAAAATGACTCACTGTTGGACTAAGGATAACATTCAGCAAAATATCTAGTGTTGCACGCAAGAGTTTTAAGCTCAGAGTATTTGCTCAGGGTATTCTACTATCTTGGAATTTGACATTGTTCCAGTCAAGCACCTGTAAAATGTATGAAAGGAACACCTGAGAAATGAATCCTGAAGTGTGTGCTTTTAGGGTTAAAAAAGATGAGTAAAGCATGTAAGATAACCTCTGAGAGAAGGATAGAGCACAAGAAGATAGCACAAATCAACAAGAACGTCTCTGTTACAATCAAAGATGCGTGAAGTTCTGCATACACAATCAAGAATTGTTTTTAATTTAGCATCTAGAGCACACTGACATCTTCTACAATGTTTAACAGCTAATGAAAGAGATGCATTCATGACCGTCTAATTGAAAAACAGTAGTCCACAGTTTTACTAAAATCATCTATAATGTTTAGCTGACCAGCATTTCCTTTTACTTCATGTAATTGTAAATAAGGCAAGGAAAAAAAAAAGCACTGCAGAGTATTTTAAACAACCTCTTTAATAAAATAAATGTAAACCTCTTACTTAGGCCCAGTTACTGGAAGAACTGGCTATTTAAAATTCATTTTCATCATAATCACATTTGAAGTAGCCTGACAATCCCAGACTTCTCTTACCCATGCCAGGTATCCTTAGAAGTACAAGCATTCTTAGGTTTGGTTTCATCTGCTGCTGCTCTAACTAGTGCTCTTGTCCCTTCACCAATAGAAAGAGAAGCAGTAGAGCTGTGAAAAAATGAACAATTAATAGCAAAGATTAGCTAGCATTATGAGCATGGAAACGCTTGTGACCTTTCTTCTCCAGAGAAGATTACCCAAATCATTTCTGCCTCAGAAGAGCTGCCACAAAGACAACACAGATCTTCAGACAATGTTATGCAGTTCTACGCCAGAAAACTGTATAACAAACTTCCCCCAAAGTCGATGCCATACAGCAGTGAGGTTGCACACCCAAACTCCACACCTCAGCGTGGAAGCACACAGAACAGCTAAACCTCAATTTCCCCAGGAGAGGGGAAAAACCATCACTGAAGAGATGTGCCTCTTTTTCCAGAGACAAATAAACCATTCTTTCTTAAAAATAAATGTTCTTTGGACATAAATAGACTTTGTTTATCTGAAGAACACTTATGCCTTTGTCTAGGACAATGTAAGCTGAAACTCTTCATACTATTGAAAGTTCACCCACTTGAGCAACAGAACTGTGACAAATTTTCAACTTTTATTCAAGTCAGACAAAACAGAAAATTTACTCCTTTCTCTACTGCTATCAATCCACCCCAAACTGAGATTTCCAGTGATCCGTGACAATAGCACAAACCATTTTTCAAGCTGTGACTTCACATATTGGTCTGGAATTGATAATTGATAATTTAATTGACATTAAATTGTTTTTTAAGCAGGACTGACTTCCCAAGAAATGGAAATAAGTCTTCACGTGCCACTGAAGGACAGCATTAACTGGTATTTAAGAGACTAACCTATTCTTCAAGCACCTGCTGTTTTCCATTTTAAAACTATGAACACAGCAGTAAATTGAAGGTCAAGAGTAAAAACCACCACTATTAAAGTATTTCTGACCTGGCTTCCAGACTAGAGATACTAAAGCAATGAAAGGCACTTGGGTGGTGACAGATTTCTAACAAGCTTAATTACTTAAATGAAAGATAATATTAGAAGCCTCTCTATTTGCCACCTAGCTTCTAAGGGAATTCCAACTACCAACTTGATATTTACATTCTGCCTTACAGCTGCACTTCAGTGAGCACATAACTGCATTACAGCCTGCAGCCTACTGAAATTCAATGCTATATATGTAAAAATACACATTCATCAGCAGCAAAAGAATTATATAAAAACCATCTGTTTATTCTTGATAAAAAAAAATATTTTTGCTAATAGAAGACACATACTGCTTGTCTTCTTCTGCCCGGGACAGCAAGGGTTAAGTACCACACATCAGGTCTCCCATGAAGCAAGACAAAAAAAAAAGCATTCTTTTCCAGTTAGCATTTTTAGCTATAAGCAGAAAGTCTGAAAGTGACATCAATGAAAACAGTTAGTGTGGGAATCACGCATTGAATCTAATGCTCCTTCACTTATATGGAAGGAATATTTCTCTTTTGGAAAAAACAGTTCATCTGAAGACATCCTGTACAGCAGTGATCACACGTTGACTTCCAGAGCTACAGCCACAACCTGGGACAGCCAGAATCCTGCCAAAATTCATCTCAAGCAAGCTGTCAACTGCTGCTTATCATTAGGTCTGCTGCTGAGGGCTAACGATGATTTAACAAATCATGACTCCTTGAGAAACACAGCCTACAGTTAGTGAATTTATTTCAACCTAACTACAATGATGGCTTTCAGTGCCTGACCTTTTGAAATTACTTCACTCGTTCAGATGTAACAGTAAGGGTGTTCCCCTCGCAGTCCATTTGTAAGGTTAACTCTCTACCTCCACATGCTGTTACTTACCCAGCTGCATCAACTCTCAGCTTTTTGAATGCCGTCTGCAGGCTTTCCTCCTCTCCATCCTTAGCTTCTGTTTTCATCATTAAGATGGTCAGAAGCTGTCGGTTACCATATACTGCTAAAAACAGAAAAGAAACATGAAAATGAGAATGAATGCCATGTTAAAAACATTAGTTACCCAGCAGCACGACGATGCATGAAAATAAACTCAAAATAGCAAACTGAGTGCACACAGCTGAGGTCATTCTAGCAGAATGTTTTTCAAAGTCAATTCAGAACTAACTTTATGATACCCAGGAATGGAACAAACAGTCTCTTCTTGTACACTTGCATTAGAGAAATAGCAATTTAAAGTAAAATCTGGTCAACAGCATCTTGCACATCTATTGAAGTTTAGACAGCCTCTTCCATTTATCTCAGAAATGCTACCAGGATACCTCCAGAAATGGTGAGAAGAAACAATCTTATTAGAAATAGACAGCTTTCCACAGCTATTTCCAGCAGTGAGGCTTGCTATTATACATTCATAGAGTAATACCTAAAAAGACCCACAAAAATAAACAGACTTCTCGAAGACAAGACTGTTAAGCTATGCATTTGTAGGTTTTTGGTTAAATTCTCCTCCTCCATTACAAGTGGATGAAGCAGTGTAGTGATTCATGTTAGACCCACAGCTTTTGGATGTGCTCTGTGACCTGCTGCAGCTGCTGCCACCATGGAGGACTAAAGGAAAAAGGACAGAAGAACAGACTGCTTTCAAAACGCATTAGCTTTTTATTTAAGCTGTTCAGACTTAGACGATCTATACTTCATTTTAATTACATTCATACTATCCCAGAACACTCTAAGAGAGTTAAACTGCAGCTGTTTTTGATTACACAGCCTGAACTGCTGGAAGAAGAAATAGGAAAGCAAGACTCAGAAGTGATTACTCTGCATGCACTCAGTCTTTACAGGATCTTTTGTTTTAACTTAAGTACTTAAAATAACAAACAAACAAAAAAAACAAAGCCCCACACTAACAAACCCAGCCAACCCACTCAACACATTTTCTGGTTCACCCTGCCTTTGCTTTCAGTTTACAAGATATAGATGCACAATTTTGAGTTAAGTAAATCAGAGGCAGTAAACTCACAAAAACAGGTCAAAATTGAGAAAGGATCTGAACTGCCAACCCCAGCTTTGCTTAAGCCATCCAAAAAAACTTTCATAACCACCCTGGTAGCCAAGACTACTGCTTCATTTCATGCTAGAAACAAAAAAGCCTTTTCATCAACATAGCTTCCACTGCCACACGTTAAATTCTTTACACACAGGTGTTTTGCTACCCCAGTCTCTGCAAAGCTACCTTATAACAGGATACGAGTCCCAGTGATTGACTTGAGTACTTCCAGAAATAAGGGCTGTTTGGTGGCTGCCACACTACACAGATTTGTGTGGGTTGTGACCAGATCATAATCTTAGGCCTTCTGGTTTATTTATTTATTTTAAATTTGCAAGAGGAAATCATACTTGACCAACTTCTTCTGTGAAGAAATAACTGGCTTAGCAGACAAGAGGAAAGCAGTAGATATTTTAACTCTGACTTCAGCAAGGCTTTTAAGCACCACCTCCTGTTAAGACCCTGACAGACAAATCGATGAGGCATGGGCTGGATGAGCCAAGCAGTTAGAGGCAAACAGCTGTGTAAGGTCAGGCTGGAGGCCAGTAACAAGTAATGTACCCCAGGAATCAACAGTGGGTCCACTCCTGCTTAACATCATCATTATGGATCCAAATGATGGCATATACTGCACCCTCAGTATGACTGCTGATGTTATGGACAGGAGGGGTAAATACACCCAAGAGATTTGCTGCCATCCAGAGAGACTCTGACAGGCTGGAAAAAAATGGGCTGACAGCAACCTCACTGCAGCTCAGCCATGGGAGCTGTGAAGTCCTGCCCTATTCTGGGCTTCCCAGTACAAGAGAGACATGGAGCTACTACAGAGAGTCCACCAAGGACCACCAAGATGGTCAATGAAGTACTTCTCCTATGAGAAAAGCTGGGGAGCTGGGGCTGCTCAGCCTGGAAGAGGCTCAGGGAGAATCTCATCAATGTCTCTAAGTACCTGAACAGAGGGTACAAACAACACAATCAGGCTCTGTTCAGCAGCACCCAGTGCCAGAACCAGAGGTGATGGGCATCAACTGGAAAATCAGTTCTGTCTGAAAAATCAGGAAAAACTCCACTTTTTCTGAGGCATGGAAAATAAGAAACATAGGTAAGGAAAGAGAAGCAATCGGCACATCGATAGTTCAGTTGCTTAAGCAGATATGAGTTGGCAACTTCTGCTCCTGCAGTCTCACTCCAGTTGGAGGCAGCTCCCCACGCTGCCGCTCCAGCTGCTCACTCTGCTCACATTCCAGCTGGACAGGCCTTGCTGCAGGCAGCCATTATGACACACGCAGAAGGATGACGTACCACAATAACACTGAGGCACACGCTGTCCTGTGAGTCATGCAGCAAACAAACACCGGAGAACGAGGCTGGGACAGAGCCTGACTGTGTGCTGTTCATCCAAGCACGGCATTATTCAGACACTCACATTGCTGAGAGCCCTGACTGTGGTAAAGCATACAGTTCCAGTTTCACCAATCTTTTTCCTTGGCCTAAGCAGCAACTTCTACACAAATAAAACGTTAACCTGTAATTTCTGCCTATGAAACACGCAAACACAGTATAGCATAGCACAGAGAATAAGGAAGGGTCACGCCGGGACCTTCGAGCCCGACCCCAGGCCCCACGCAAACGCCCCAGCTCAGACCTCCGTCCGAGATCCTCGTCCCGACG